GCCGGTTGAGCTATAGGCGCCGAGCCATAATTCCACATCTTAATGACACTATTATGTGTCATTTTATTATTTAACGTGTACTTAACTTGAAGAATGACAGCATATTTACAATTTGGTGTTCAGTTTGTCAGTTGACATTCTGCATAGTTATTGCTTTGATGCCTGCTTGGAGGACTTCCATATGCCCCCTCTGCTTCCCTTGTGTTTTCTCTGACTTCCTGTCACAGGTGTTTAATGTATGTGTTCCACACTTCTTAGTAAGGGGACTGAAAGTCCTATAAATACATATAAGTGCTGAGTGAATGAAAATGTCATAATGAGGCTTGGTGCCTGTAGCTTGTGCAGCTAGGGTGCCAGCCACTACAACCAAAAAAAAAAAAAAAAAAAAAAAAATAGCTGGGTTTTGTGCCGGGTGCCTATAGTCCCAGCTACTTGGGAGGCTAAGGGAAGAGAATTGCTTAAGCCCAAGAATTGGAAGGTGCTGTGAGCTGTGAAGCTATAGCACTCTACCCTAGGTGACAACTTGAGACTCTGTCTCAAAAAAAAAAAAAAGAAAATGTCTTAATGAGAAAGGGTACAGGATTTACTCCTTAGACCCTCTTCTGTTATCTCTTCAAACCCTGAGTGAGTCTCTTAATCTCCTTGGTCTGGTCATCTCCCCTCTCTGTCCAAGGAGTAGGCCCAGACCAGGACATTGGGTGTCTGGTAGTTACAGACCTCTCTTAATGTCTTTGGAGCTGCCTAGCTGGACATAACCCAGTCCTCACCATGCACTTGAGCCCTGCTGTATGGGAGCTGCATGTGTCAGCTCATCGGCCTTGGCTGCATTAGGTTCTCCCGCTCTAAGCAGAGACAGTAATGCAGTACTTAATTTGCGATAATTATGCGTTACTGAAATTCATGTACTTGTCTGTGGTTTTGTAAAGCAGGCCATGTTAATGATTTCTAGTTTTCATAACAACCCGAGCAGGTTGGGTATTGTTATCCTTATTTTACTAACTAAAAGTCTGAACCAAAAGGAGGTTATGACTTGCCCAAGACGTGAACCTCCAAATCTCTTCCTCCTTACCCTTCACAGCAGTTTCTCCACAGCGGCACTATTCACGTTTTGGACCAAACTATTCTATTTGGGAGTACTGTCGTGTGCATTGCGGAATGTTAAGCCTTACCCACTAGATGTCAGTAACACTCTTTGTCTACCCTAGTTGGGACAACCGGAAAATTTCTCCAGATACTGCTCTAGGGCAGAATCAGCCCCAGTTGAGAGCCACTGCCCTACACCCAACCAGCTTTAAGGCAGGAAGTTCCTTGCTTTTTGGCAATGGCAGTAACAGCTCTGTGATAGAGACGGAACACTGGCCCCGTGGGCTGGTAGCCCACACTACTCTCAGTGTCTGTGGCAGAGTAGAGCTTGTGCTTTTTTTTTTTTTTCAGGTCTGGCCTGCCTGCTGCCTTCTTAGTCCTGATTTTGCCAAATGCTCTTCTCTTGTTAGGTCTGTATGCAGTGAAAATCCGAGCTGAGGCCATGCAGGAAGCTTCAGAAGCTGTCCCCAGTGGAATGTTGTCAGTCCTCGGCAAGCCCCAGTCCAAGTTCAACTCTGCCTGTCTGGAAGCCCGAGAACATTGCAAGTCTTTGGGCATAGAGAACCCAGTGTGTGAGGTGTCCAACTACCTCTTTCCTGATTGCAGAGTGATTTCAGGACACCTAGAGGTTGGTGTTGATGGGAACTGCCTTAACAGACACCAGTCCAGTACAGAGGCTGGAATACCCTGTATCTGTGAGATCCGGCAGTGGGGCCAATGCTCTGCTGAGCCTGTTCCTAGAAGTATTTGGGGTGGGGGAATGTGTGATATACCTAGTCCTCCGGAGGGAGGCAGAGCCTGGGATATTGCCCTGCTCTCCAGTGTATACTATGGAGACAAATCACCCAGCCTGTGTTTAATTTAAAGGGGCAGGACCAGGTATCTCCAAGGGCCTACTGATAGCACATTCTGGGCCTCTAAAGAACCCCTGATCTAGTTTCCTTAGAGAAAGGGGAGCTGCTTTCTGTTGGATTGCTATGCCCTGCCTTGATTTTTTTCTGGTGTCTGCTTTTGCAATGGCATTAATTTCCTTTCTGCTGTACTTCTTTCCACTTGCTGCTTCTCCAGACATAAGCAGCTCTAAAGCAACAAGCATGGGCAGTGCCTGTAGCTCAAGCCCCTAAGGCGCCAGCCACATACACCAGAGCTGGCGGGTTCGAATCTGGCCTGGGCCTGCCAAACAATGACAATTATAACCAAAAAATAGCCAGGTGTTGTGGCAGGTGGCTATAGTCCCAGCTACTCGGGAGGCTGAGGGAAGAGAATCACTTAAGCCCAGGAGTTTGACGTTGCTGTGAGCTGTTGATGCCATCACACTCTATCCAGGGTGACAGCTTGAGTCTCAAAAAAATTAAAATAAATAAAGCAATAAGCATGAGGACACACAGGCTGACTTCCAGGAGTCAGAGGCTGCAGTGAGTTATGATCATGCTGCTGCACTCCAGCCTGGGTGACAAAGTGAAATCCTGTCTCTAAAAAAGCAACAAAATGGGCAGCGCCCGTAGTGCAGGGGTTACAGCACCCACCACATGCACTGAGGGTGGTGGGTTCAGACCCAGCCCGGGCCAGCTAAACATCAATGACAACTGTAACAAAAAATAACCAGGCATTGTGGTGGGCACCTGTGATCCCAGCTATTTGGTAGGCTGAGGCAAAAGAATCTCTCAATCCCAAAGAGTTTGAGGTTGCAGTGAGCCATGGCACTCTACCGAGGGCTACATAATAAGACTCTGTCTCCAAAAAAAATAAAATAAAAGCAACAAAAGTTCTTTTCCCTTTCTTTTGATACTTGATAAAAATACAGTTTTTAATTAGCATTTGTGTGCAAAAATATATATCTGTTTTAAAGATCTTTGTAGGCTGGGTGCCCTTAGCTCAGTGGTTAGGGCACCAGCCACATGCTCCAGGGCTGGTGGGTTCAAACTTGGCCTGGGCCTGCTAAACAAACAAACAAAAAAAAATAGCTGGGCATCATAGCGGGTGCCTGTAGTCCCAGCTACTAGGGAGGCTGAGGCAAGAGAATCACTTAAGCCCAAGAGTTTGAGGTTGCTGTAGCCGTGACACCATGGCACTGTACTGAGGGTGACAAAGTGAGACTCTGTCTCAATAAAAAAAATAACTAAATAGAAAAATAAAGATCTTCACTCCTGAGACTTTCCTATATAAGAATACATTTCTTCTCTCTCTCTCTTTCTCCCTTTCTCCCCCCTCTCTCTCCTTCTTTCTCTCCCTCTCTCCTTCTCTCTCCTCTTTTTCTCTCCTCCTTGGTGTTGCTCTGCAGCCTCCCTCCCCCACCAATAAAGACCTTTCGTATAAAAAATAAAAAATAAAGATCTTGGCAGTGCCTATGGCTCAGTGAGTAGGGCACTGGCCCCGTATACTAAGGGTAGCAGATTCCAACCCGGCCCCCACCAAACTGCAACAAAAAATAGCCAGGCGTTGTGGTGGGCGCCTGTAGTCCCAGCTACTTAGGAGGCTGAGGCAGGAGAATTGCCTAAGCCTAGGAGATGCCACAGCACTCTACCAAGGGCAACAAAGTAAGACTTTGTCTCTAAAAAAATAATAAAAAATAGGCTCGGCGCCTATAGCTCAACCGGCTAAGGCGCCAGCCACGTACACCTAAGGTGGCGGGTTCGAATCCCCAGCCCGGACCCGCCAAACAACAATAACGGCTGCAACCAAAACATAGCCGGGCGTTGTGGCGGGCGCCTGTGGTCCCAGCTACTTGGGAGGTGGAGGCAGGAGACTCGCTTGAGCCCAGGAGTTGGAGGTTGCTGTGAGCTGTAATGCCATGGCACTCTACCCAGGGGGATAGCTTGAGGCTCTGTCTCAAAAAAAAAAAAAAATAATAATAATAATAATAAAAAATAAAGATCTTTGCAAATTTTGTGATTTGCAGCCTATGTAGTTGGAAGGGTTCAGACCTATTGGCTGGCCCCTGAGACCTTTTCTGAGTTAAGGTGCCCTGTAGAAGAGGCTTTGGGCTTGAGGGAAAGAAGGTTCTTTTCTTCTCTAAAGAATCCCCAGATGAGTATCCCAAACCCTGTGTTGTGAAATGGGGTTTGGATTTTCCTTTGGAATTTTCATCTTGAAGATTATGGACTCAAAAAGAAGATAAGGGCCAGGTGTGGTGGCTTATGCCTGTAATCCTAGCACCCTGGGAGGCCAAGACAAGTGGATAGCTTGAGCTCATGGGTTTGAGACCAGCCTGAACAAAAAAAGCAAGACCCCAGTCTCTACTAAAAATAGAAAAACAGAGGTGGGTGGCACCTGTGGCTCAGTGGGTAGGGTGGCAGCCCCATACACTGAGTGTGACAGATTCGAACCAGTCCCAGCCAAATTGCAACAAAAAATAGCTGGGCATTGGGGCAGGCGTCTGTAGTCCCAGCTACTGGGAAGGCTGCAGCAAGAGAATTGCCTAAGCCCAGGAGTTGGAGGTTGCTGTGAGCTATGATGCCACAGCACTCTACCCAGGGCAATAAAGTGAGACTCTGTCTCTAAAAAAAAAAGAAAGAAAAAGAAAAAACTGAGGCAAGAGGATCGCTTGAGCCCACGAGTTGGAGGTTGCTGTGAGCTATGATCCCATGGCACTCTACCCAGGGCAACAGCTTGAGACTCGGTCTCAAAAAAAAAAGAGGCAGAAGAAAATAGGGGCTTGTTAAAAATTATGAGAAGATAACAATTCTCATTAAAAACTACACTTAATTAGACAATGCTTTTTCCATTATCAGGCACACACCTATAGGATTTGTTTTTCCCAGTAACCTTGTGAAGTAGATGGAATTGTGTTTATTTTAGGGACAAGAAAGGAGAGGTTCCAACATGTTTTTGGTTGTTGTTGTTGTTGTTGTTGTTGTTTTGCTGGGGCTGGGTTTGAACCCACCACCCTCAGTATATGGGGCCGGTGTCCTACTCTTTGAGCCACAGGTGCCACCCAAGGTTCCTACATGTTAAGTAGTTTGCCAGGTAATGGCAGTGCTGGGCTGGGTGGGCAAACCAGTGTTTCCGTTTTTAACAGCTTTGAGTCTCTTTCAACCATGCTGCAGTCACCTTCCTAGTTGGGGCATCTGAATGGTCACATCTCTAAAGGAGGACTTGTGGGATACTAGCTGTATGGTTAATTTTAACTGGAACTAAAAAAATGAGTTAAGGTCATGGCAGAAGGTTCATGGGATAAGATATGTACAGCTGTGTGCGGATAAGCATGTTGTGTGCAGAGGGCTGCCAGGCACAGTGGCTCAGCCTGCAGTGCCAGCTGCTAGGGAGGCTGGGGCAGGAGGATTGCTTGAGACCAGAAGTTCAAGACCAGGTTGGACAACACAGCAAGACCCTGTCTCTAAAAAATCAGTCATATAAACAAGACTGTGAGGTTGCTGATGCTGACTTTTACCCTAAGATTTGCTCAGCTTGAACCCCCTTACTTTTCCAGGCTCTGCAGTTTCTCCAGAAGAATTCCTCTAAGTTTCACTTCAGACGCACCAAGATGTTGCCAGTTAGTGGGGGGTTCCACACCCGCCTCATGGAGCCAGCCTTGGAGCCCTTGGAGCAAGTTTTAAAGACAATCACCATTAAGGAACCTCTGATTTCTGTCCACTCAAACATCAATGGGAATCGATACATGCACCCCAAGCACATCCAGAAGCTGCTGGCCCAGCAGGTAGTCTCCCCGGTAAAGTGGGAGCAGACGATGCATGCCATATACGAACGGAAGAAAGGCACTGCGTTCCCCCAGACTTTCGAAGTAGGCCCAGGGCAGCAGCTGGGAACCATCCTGAAGAGCTGTAACCTGCAGGCCTGGAAGTCATATAGCCACGTGGACGTGCTTCAGGCCACCAAGGACCCAGACCTGGACCCCGAGGAGTCTCCTCCATGACCGCCAGGGGCTCAAAGAGGATGATTGACCCTCGCCTGCCCTCCCTAGTGGAAACTGTGGGTTACTCCTGCTTTGCCCATTTTTTTCACCCCCTCATTCAACAGGCGGGAGGCTGATTCCCACATTCCTTTACATGCCCTAGAAATGCATAGTGAGCACCTGCTGGTGCCAGAGCAAGCAGCCTCTGCCCTGTAGAAGGGTGCCTGGGAAGGGAAGCCCTGGCTTCCCATGGAGAACTGCCCACAAGAAACCCACTGGGTGGGACCAGGATGAGGCCCTCAGAGCTCATCCTCTGCTCTACCCTAGGAGCAAGGCACAGATGTCTCTGAGAAAATTTTAAGCTCTTTGAATTAATATTAAATATGAGAAATTCTAAGCTGCTTAGGTGTTTTTGTTTTTTTTTTTTCATTCGACTATAGGGGGAAAACATTGAGAATGAAATTGAGTTTGTCTTAAAATGTTACTGTTGTGTAGACATGTCAAATCCTGGACAGGGCTTCTCTTGTTTAACGAAAGCTCAGGCTGAAGTACAGTGGCCTGATCATAGCTCACTGCAGCCTCCAACTCCTAGACTCAAGTGATCTTCCTGTCTTAGCCTCCCCAAGTAACTGGGACTACGGGCAGGTGGCCACCACGCCTAGAAAAAGGTCTTCTGCTCCATAGCTCAAATGATCCCCCTGCCTTGGCCTCCCACAATGCTAGGATTACAGGTGTCAGCCACAACGTCCAGCCTGGTTTCTCATTATTCTATTTTTCAGCAGGACCCTGTTGGCCTTTGGGCAGAACTGTTCCCCCTTATACGGGACTGTCCCACTCTGTGGAGAGATGTCTTAACTCTGGCCACTGCATGCCAGTAGTACTTCCCGGCATTTTGACCCCAAACACTCCACACATTTCCTCATGACCCTGGCTGAGAACTCAGTGGGGTCGATCAGGTGCAACCCTCAAGAGGACCAGGGCCCAGAACCCACAGCACAGCCAGGCTGTGTGGCCAACAGGTGCTGTTAGCTGGAGGGGCACAGGAACCAGACCTGCATCTTGCCTCCTGGGGCCCAGCCCTAGGGGAATCTGAGGGGGAAACCTAATCCTAACCCCTCACTTGGGTTCAGTTCGGGTTGTGAGGACAGTCCTCCTCTTCCTCACCACCTGTCATTACTGAGAATCTCCCGGTTGACGATGGGCTCATCTTCCAGTCCCAATGTCAGTCATGTGCCCTCTGGTCTCAGCAGCAGGCCCCAAGAGCAGGCTTGTGTCCTCCTACCTATTTCCACCAAGAGGGGCAAACCCTGGAGCCATTCGTCTATGAAGGGGACCAACGCCAGAAACCCCCTGTGTGAGCCTCACATCCACACTGCCCAATGGAAGCTGGGCGGGGGGTTGCTTAGGGCATCCCAGTGTGCCCAGGCCCTGACTTAGCCTCTGACCGTCCATGTGTCGATTTCCTGCTAGTGGTGGGCTACCTGGAGCTGATAAGTGACATGCTGGCACGCAGATGGCCCCAAGGAGAGGCAGCTGAGACTGCTGCCACATGCGGGTACCATAATAGCCTCAGAAGTCTCGAGGCCACAGGGTTGAATGGACAGGGCAGAAATCCCATGGGTGAGGCTGGCCCGGGGCAGCCTGCTTGCCACCTCCTTGGCAGGTGGAAAACACCTCCTGTCTACCCTGCACCTCCTCCCTTGGGGCAGTTTCTGACACCTGATTGTGAGGAAAAGGCTAGCCCTGTGTACTTTCCTTAGTATCAGCAAGTACACAGCTTTTCTTCCTTAAAGTTAATCCTTACCCCAGGTGGTAAGGTTTACTTTTTTTTTTTTTTTTTTTTTTTTTTTGCGGTTTTCGGCTGGGGCTGTGTTTGAAACCCACCACCTCTGCATATGGGACCGGGGCCCTACCCTTTAGAGCCACAGGTGCCACCCAAGATTTACCTTGTTAAAAACACTTTATAAATAAAGCTGCTTCCAGAGTTCGGGGCTGGTTGGCTGCAGCCATCAGCCCTCTTGATCCCGTCCAGTCTTTGTCTCTTGTGGGGTATATTCTCTTGCATGTCTTTTTTTCTAATTTCCCTCAGGTCCATTTCTACTCAGGTTATCTCCCCCTCCTTGCACTGGTTCTCAAGACCTGATACCCCCAGCCCTTCCAGAGAAAAGGCCAAGGGCAAAAGGGGAGGCCTTGTAGGAGAGGAAGGCTGGACCCTGCAGCAGACACAGGCCTGTCAGAGCTGGGGGTCCACCTGCCTCAGACCCAGGGCCCTTTGTTCCAGCACCTTCTCCACAGGGGACTCCTCCTTCACTGCCCCACTTCCCCACAGGCATTTCCTCAGCCCTTTGTATCCTCCACAATTCAGCCCTCAGTGCTTGCACTCTGCTGAACAAAAATACGAAATCCTAGGCAGAGATTGTCTCTAACACCCCCACACTCCTAGGACTGATGCACAGCACGGGGCTCCTGAGATCCAGGGGTGGAAAGGGTTTTGCAAGTCCCAGGGCAGGACGACCATGGAGTATCCCAGATTCCTATGTAGAGACTGCTAGGATGAGGGACTTGGCTCTGCACTGCCGTGGGGGTGGCGGGAGGTGGTTTCTGTTCCTCCTCTAGAGCCCCAGGCTCCTTAAGAAGATCCACAGGCACCTGGCCCAAGCATACGGTGGGTACAGTGGGCACATGCCTGGGACGGCTTATCCTGAGTGCAGGAGGAAGCAGACTGGGGGCTGGGAGGGCTTCCTGGAAAAGGTGTCCTGTGTCATCCTAGTCATGCTGATTCTGCAGTGGGTCCCCAAGGGCTTGGGTGTCAACACACCAGGCCAACTCTGGAACCACTTCCAAGCCTCTGTCTGAGGTGGGAAGTGCTCCCTTTCCTGGGAACTATGTGGTTCCAAATAAAAGTTAACAGATAAAGGGGATGAAGCCAAAGTCTCAAAGCTGCAGAGAGCCAATGGTGGCTCACACCTGCAGTCCCAGCTACGAGACCAGGAATCTGAGGCTGACCTGGGCAACAAAGCCTGGAGAAGAGCCAGACCTTGGGGACCTGAAGCATTTAAGAGGCTATAGCGGAGCCCTTTTGAGGGCTGGGTACAGATGGGTGTGAGGAGGAAGCAGGGTCCACCCAGCCTGTCTATTGGTGTGGCTCCATCTGCTGATCAGCCTAGAGCCAGGGTACAGAAAGGGCCTGGCTGGGAAGGAGACAAGTCTGCCAAAGGTACGGGGTTGGAGGGGCCCCTGGAAGGCTATGGCCCAGCCCAGCCCAGGGGCACCATTCAAGGTGGAGGGGGCTCCTGGTGGGATCTAGAAATGCCCCTGGGTCAAGGCCTGGGGCAGGCACCCACCAGAAAGGTGAGTGGCTTGGCACCCCACACACAAACACCATGCCCCTCCTCTATGAGCAGAGCGATGGTGGGGATGTGCAGGGAAGGGGATAGGGACCCTCATTTTAAGAGGCACTGAAAGCCCAAAGGAAATAATCCCTAACAGCGTACTGGAGGTACAAGGGCATGGCAGAGATACCATACATCTTTGCAAACCCCAAGATGGCATTTGTGGTCCTCAGGCGCAGGGAGATTAGGAGCCTGCCCTACCCCTGCCCTCCCAGGGCCAAGGGAGGCTGCAATGGTGCTGCAGACCCCCAGAGAGGACCAGAGACAGCTGCAAACCAACAGTTTATTGAGCTCTCACAGAAACCCATTTCAGTGGATTCTCCGGTGGGGGCATCACGTACACGGGGGTGTGACCAGCACTCCCCCCGCAGCCTGCTGCATGACCAGTCAGCACAGGAAGGCCTCCTCTTGGGGACAGGACGCCTCCTGGGCTAGGCCAAGGTCAGGAAAACAGGCTCAGCAAAGCTGCCTCTGAAGCCCAGAGGCATAACAAATTCATTTGTCTTACAAAAAAAAAATCTGGAAAAAAAACAAAAACTGAGTACAAAACCTTAGCAGTGTCCCAGCACTACCTGAGTTTAAATATAAAAAGAGATCAGAAAACTGTAGTTAAAAAGACAAGGAAACCACAGCAGCCGCCACCTCCAGGGCAGTGGTCAGGGAAGGGAGGGGGAGGTCCAGCTCCACCCCAGGCTGCCGGGGCCTCACTTGAGCAGCAGGTGCAGGCCCCCTGCCAGCAGCAGCACCAGCAACAACAGCAGCAACAGCACCTGTTCCCACGCCGGGGCAGGGCACACCTGAAAGCAAAGGCAGCAGTGAGCCCCGAACCAGACAGACAGGGTGAGAGCCTAGACAGGGTGATAGCGGGGTGGCCAAGGGGAAGCCTGGGGAGGTATGGGAGCAGGAAGGAGGTCTCCCTGGCACTGGTGGGGGCCAGGACAAGCTGAGACCAGAGAAAGAACTGAGTTTGAGAGAGGGAGGGAGAACGGGAGAGAAGTGGCCCTGAGAAGAAAGGGTGGCCCGGCCTGGACCGGAGGTGGCCAATTCTTTGCACCACAGGAGTGAGGGGTACCCGCTGCTCTGGTAGACAGGAGTGGCAGGAGGAGGCATGAGAAAAGGCTGGCCAGGAAAGCTGCTCAGGAGAGGAGACACCTTTCCTGGCCAGATGAAGCTGTCCCTGGCAGAGGGAAAAGCAGGCCTACACACAGACTCTAGTTTATGGGGTCACCTTGTGCATGAGACCTGCAGTCTTAACCCCAAAAGCCAGTGGGACCAAGCAGATGCACAAACAGGTGATGACAGGGAGTGGTGGGGACTGTGGCAAACCAGAGGATGTCCCACCCAGACAGCCCCCACTGGCAGCAGTGCACATCAGAGTTATGAATCAAGGCTCTTACCCAGGGCCCGCGGCTCAGGGATCTCCAGAACCCTGCTATATTCTCCCTGAGGTTGGTGAAACCGCTGATAACACTTCTGAGGACACCCTGGCCATCAGTCTGGTTGTAGGATAGACCCAGGCTACAAGACACACAGAAGGGAGCACAGCTGTTAGAGCAGGAGCAGGCAGATGCTGCTTGAGCGCACCATCACAGATGTGGGGACAGAGATCCTGTCCTCTCACCCCCACTGCCACCCTGATCCCTCTCTGCATGTGCTGTTTGTGGTCAAATTCATTCTCATTTTCTGTCTCTTCCCCATCTGTCCGCCAGCCCACCAGAGGCTTGGACCTGTGGAATACCTAAGCCCACCCTGCAGGATGATGGGCAGGGTGCTCTGCCTATGAATGCCTCCCCAGGGAGACAGCTGAGAAGTCCTGCCTTCCTGACTTAGGATACGAGCTCACCCAGGGAATCCCTTTAAGTCAAGACCCTCTTTAAGGCCAGACACGGTGTGGCTCATGCCTATAATCTAGCACTCTGGGAGGCCGAGGTAGGTGGATTGCTTGAGCTCACGAGTTCAAGACCAGCCTGAACAAGAGCAATAAATATCATGTCTCTCTAAAAAAAAAAAAAAAAAAAAAAAATAGCTGGGCTTGGCGCCTATAGCTCAGCAGCTAGGGCACCAACCACATACACTGGAACTGGCAGGTTTGAATCTAGTCCAGGCCTACCAAACAATGACAACTACAACAAAAAAATAGCCGGGTGCTGTGGCAGGCACCTGTAATCTCAGCTACTTGGGAGGCTGAGGCAAGAGAATCGCCTAAGCCCAAGAGTTTGAGGTTGCTGTGAGTTGTGATGCCACAGCACTCTACCCAGGGTGACATAATGAGACTCTGTCTCAAAAAATAAATAAATAAATAGCCAGTGTTGTGGTGGGCCTCTGTAGACCCAGCTACTTGGGAGGCTGAAGCAAGAGGATCATTTGAGCCCAGAATTTTGATGTTGCTCTGAGCTATGATACCACAGCACTCTACCCAGGGGGACAAAGAGAGACTGTCTCAAAAAACAAACAAACAAACAAAAACCCTCTTGAAAAGGTACAATCTTGGCTCGGCGCCTGTGGCTCAAGCAGCTAAGGCGTCAGCCACATACACCTAAGGTGGCGGGTTCGAATCCCCAGCCCAGGCCCGCCAAGCAACAATGATGGATACAACTAAAAAATGGCTGGGCGTTGTGGCGAGCGCCTGTGGTCCCAGCTACTTGGGAGGCTGAGGCAAGAGACTCGCTTGAGCCCGGGAGTTGGAGGTTGCTACGAGCTGTGATGCCATGGCACTCTACCCAGGGGGATAGCTTGAGGCTCTGTCTCAAAAAAAAAAAAAAAAAGAAAAGAAAAGGTACAATCTTGACTTGATGAGGAAAAGGAAAGGGCTCCTGGCTCAACTTTGTTACTGCCCAGGCCCAGAACAGAGCGATGGCAGGCTTAAGCCCCAGGAGCAGGGGCTGGGACAACCCAAAGGCTTCTAGGAGAGACTGTCTAGGAGAGTCAGGGCTACTTCCTCCCAGTGCTTCCTGAGGCCCAACCCTGTGCTGGGTTCTGGGCCCACTCACTGGCCCAGGGCCCCTCCCCAGGAGCTGAAGGTCACAGTCTGGTTACCTGTGCATGGTCATCCTGGACAGCTGGGCTAGTCGGGGGCTCCTGAGATGCAGGTCCATCTCGTCCCCAATGCAGGCTAGCCGCAGGGCCACCTGGTCACTGCAGAGAACAAACTTGGCAGTCAGGGTGTGGCTATAGTGAGGCCAGTGGCACCCAGCCCTACCTAGATGAAGTTTCTGGTGGGATCGGGAGTGGTCTAGAGGTGAGGGGCAGGGTCTGATTTGGGGCAGGCAGTGAACAAGCCTTCCCATGTCCCTCCTCTGACAGCCATTTTGCTTTAGAGAAGCCCTCAAGTTCCCATGGGTGGATTCTGAGCTGCCAGCCATTTCAAAAGACACCCATGCAGGGCTGGCCATGGGGGTTCCTATCCCAGCCATCCAGTCAGAGGTGGGGGGCTTCTGGGCATGGTCTGAGACCTATGGGATAGGAGGGGAGTAGACACTCGTACCTGGGATGCATGGGGGAGCAGTGAGGCAGGCTCTCAGGACAGCCTACCTGTGTACTATGGATAAACAGATGCCCAGAGAAACCTTAGTGCCCTGATTTCCCAGGAGATGCCTGGGACAGGCCTGCCTGGTGGACTTGGAGGGGATGCTGGACCATAGGGAAGGTAGATGTAGGAGTGCTGATCCCCCTGGATGACAAAGGCTGGTTTCCCATAGGAGTCTCAGCTTATCTCCTCCTTGGTGGGGCAAGGGGTCTCCAAGAACTGACTCCTCTCTGGTCCTCAATCCTGAAACCAACCCTCTTGTCATCATGCCTCTCGGAATGGAAGCTTCCGCCTGGGTCCCCCACCCCTAAACAAAATCCCAGAGGGAAAGAGGCTGGGGTGCTCTACACATGGACTCACACAAAAGACTAAAAAATCCCCCTCCCGCCTTCCCTGCCTGGTTCAGAGCTTCTGGGCCTCAGCCCTGCCCTCTGGGTTTGCCACATTCCATCCTGATGACTGGGCAACTCAGCTGGGAATTTCCAGGCTTAGGGGCCCCCAGCACCCTGCCGCCTCCCAGGTCTGAGCTCCTTACTTGGAGGTGGGGGGTGTAAGTATGGTGGAGGGCGGACTGGGAAGCAAGGTCAGGGCTGTAGCCCAATCAATCCCTGTGGGTCCTCAGGAAACACTGGCCTGTCCTAATAGCCCCTGCCCTCAGCTACTTAATAGAGAGAGGAGTGGGTGGGGTCCAGATGGTCCTCAAGCCCCTCAAGCTCTAAAATCCCTACTAGCCCAATCCCTACATTCAGGACCTTAATGCCTAAAAATCCTAAAAGAAACACCCAGAAACCTATAGCTGATGCAGCAGCCTGTTGGAGCGTAGCTGTTCTCTCCAGCTCAGGGTGGATGGAGGCCAGACCGTCTGGCCCTCACTCTGTCTGCACCACAAAGGAATAAACATACACATGCTCCCTGCTGCTGGGCAGCTGCTGGGCTCAGGTCCCTCCTCTACCCCAGCTGGTAGTCCTGCCACCTCCAGAGACCCTGCAGTTCTGGGAGCTTCCTGCCTTGGTGATTCCTGCCACTGCAGCCAGAGCCAGGAATCGTGTGGCTTCCTCAGGTCCTCCCCAGATCCCTGGTTTATAAAGGAGGACCCCACATCCTTGGAGAAAAGAGACCTTGATGTGGCCTGCAGGTCAGGACAGCCCCATGTGTAGTTCCCTAAGGCCAAAGGCTTGAGCCTCTGTGACAGCCAGTGCCCAGGGCCCGTCCTGGGACTATGAGCATGCTGGATGCTGAGGGGTCCCTGTATGAGTTGGTGTCAGGGCAGGCGGAAGCCCCAGGGTCAGGTGGCGGTGCAGTCATGCCCCTGGCCACAGGCCTCCATGACCACACCTGAGGAATTTCTCCTTCTGAGTCCTGTGTGTGTATGGGGAAGGTGCTGGCCATCCAGAGGCTTCTTCCTTCACCCAGGTCTGCTCGTCCACCCCACAGCATGGCCAGGAACCTACCTGTCCTCCAGGCACTCCATGGGGTTGGGCTCAGTCATGCCAAGAACCTCCATTGTCAGAGGCTCCAGGAGCTGCTCAAATGGGAAGGTCTCCATAAAGTGGTCCATGGAGACTGGCCTTCCTGCTGACATTTCTCCTCTGGGGCAGAGAGACAGAGTATGAGCGGACATCCCCTGACCTAAGCAGTGTGGGGGCTTCACCCACAAGACACTCGACCCTTGCCCCACCCACTCTCCGGTCTTGTGGCCCAACCCAGCTCCTGAGGCACAAATGCTGCCGTGCTCTGGGCCAGCCAAGCCTCTGTTCTCAGAAGGGGTCCCTGCTGTTTCTCTTCTCTGTGAAGTACAAATATAAGGTGGCCGCTAACACTGGACCTCACGAGGCCAGTGTCCAAACTGGGAAGCCCAGGCATCTGCTGCCAATCTGCTGCCAACAGAGGGGACTGCCACGGGCTCCACCAGGCCCAGCTCCTCCACACCACTAGCTGAGAATGACTCCTATTTTGTGGTGTCTGCTATTTCTCTTGAACAAGAAAAGCAAAAAGGCAAAATGGAGCAAGTCATCCCAATCGCATTTCCCAGAGGAACCATTAAACATTCCTCCCGTCTCTTTGCACAGCCACACAGCTGTCTGCTGACCTGTGTGCAGGTGCTGCTGTTACTTTCCTCTGACACCCATTTCCCCACCAGCTCTTTGCTAACAGGACACCAATTTTCTTTGGGGTGGCCCTGTGTCCTTATTAAGACAATCACGATCTCCCCGTCTTCCTCACTTTCCTAGCATTCCTTTGCAGCTGGTGGTGGCGGTGTACCTCAGCGCTGGCCAATGAGGTCTCAGAGGACCCAGATGTGGGGTGTGGCAGCAGGGAAGGGACACAGGCAGGGCAGCTCTTCCTCTTGTGGCCAGAGCAGCAGCAGCCAACCAAGACTAGACCTGACCACTGAGCCACTGTGGCCCTTAAGTCACTTTCTCTCACTGTGTGGGGGGGGAAAAACCCAATGTGTTCAAGAGGCTGTTCATTGCGTTTTCCTGTTCCTTGCAGCCAATGGCCTTTCTAACTAATGTAAGTGCGAATTAATGGTGAATAAGTATCACTCGTGATCACTAGCTAGGATTTTCACCAAAATTTACCCCACACTGTACCAAACTGCTTTAGGTCCAGAGTATGATGGCGTAAAGTGTGATCCTGGAATCTAGGGGCCTAGTTCAAATCCCAGCTCTGTCAGTTAGTAGCCCGTGAGCCACGGCCCCCTGCCAGCTCAGCTGCCTCCTCTGTGAAATGGGTTGATGCAGATCCCTCCCTGGACTAGGGGAGGATGAAATAAAGGAATCCTGGCCAGAAAATGGTTGTTCACACCTGTAATCCTAGCACTCTAGGATTCCAAGGCAGGTGGATTACTTGAGTTCATGAGTTCAAGACCAGCCTGAGCAAGAGCAAGATCCCCTCTCTACTAAAAATAGAAAAGAAAGAAAAACTAGCTGGGTGTTATTGCAGGTGCCTGCAGTCCAAGCTACTTGGGAGGCTGAGGCAAGAGGATCACTTAAGCCTAGGAGTTTGAGATTGCTGTGAGCTATGATGACACTACAGCACTCTACCCAGGGTGACAGAATGAGATTCTGTCTCCATAAAAAAAAGGATCCCCCACTTCCAGTACTTTGAACGGGCTTGGTACCTGGCATTCTGTGACACAGTAGACACTAACCATTATTATGACCTTTGTCCTTTAACCCATTATTTGCTTACAATACTCCCTGGGTCTTTTAAATTTGTAATTCTTTAATTCTTTAGGTCTGCCAGCACACTCCACTAACTTACTGGATTTTGTTTTCCCATCAGACACAGCGGCTTGTGACGTTTAGGACCAGTCCAGGCAGAATAAGGTCCCTCCCTGAAGTGGCTGCAGGCAGTGCAGGCAGTAGGAATAGGGCTGCCCTCCATCCTGTGCCACCTGAGGCTAGATGCAACTGTGTGTTCATTTACTGCTTTCAGCACATTAAAGAGAAATGGCTACAAATGCCAGTGCCAGGCAGGGGCTGGGGGAACAGGAAGCTTTGGCCCCTCCAGGTATCCTGGGACTGACTTGAGGCAGGTCATTAACAATGCATGCAAAAGGAACTGGGAGTGCAGGGTGATGTCATCAGCCTCAGCAGGAGTATGGGGTGTAGGGCACTCCAGCCATTTAGGGAGAAACCATAGGATGGCACTGTTCTTCGTGAGAGAGTCGAAGAAAAGAAAAACACCCAGGATATCTCTGTTGAGAATTAGCTGTTGAGAATCAGAGGTGTCTGTTTCAGTTTCCTAAGAGGAAAGCTGAAAAGAGGTTTGATCTGTTTCAGATGAAAACTCTTTGCTAACAGGAGCTGGGCTGGAGGATTCAGACTGGTAAACACAGCCACAAAGACACAAAGAGCCCACACCTGTCAGGTAACCTTCCCTCATGGGCGGAGAAACTGTCAGGTCAGACCTAGTGAGTGGAGGGAGATGGCCCTCAGCACCCCAGGGAGGGAGAAGGCCTGCCACCTGCTGAGGGCACCTGCAGCCAGTTGTAAGCTCAAAGCTGAGCCTCAGCAACTCCCCTAAACATTGGGGCCAGGGCACAGGGACACTCTAGGGAGGGTCCTGGTGTTTGTATAAGCCGTAAATACCCAAGAGATACCATTCTGGATACAAAAATCTTAGGGCGCCAGCCATATGCACTGGGGCTGGTGGACTCAAATCCAGCCTGGGGCCTAATAAACAACAATAACAACAACAACAAAAAAATAGCCAGGCATTGTGTAGGGGCCTGTAGTCCCAGCTATTTGGGAGGCTGAAGCAAGAGAATTGCTTAAGCCCAAGAGTTTGAGATTGCTGTGAACTGTGATGCCATAGCATTCTACCCAGGGCCATAGCTTGAAACTCTGTCTCAAAAAAAATACATAAATAAAATAAAAGCATGTATAGCATGACACCACAGCACTCTACCAAGGGTGACATTGTGAGACTCTGTCTCAAACAACAACAAAAAAATCTTGACATACTTGTCACAGGGAGTGCTTGGTAGCAGTTAAAAATGATAGGTAGGGCGGCGCCTGTGGCTCAAAGAGTGGGGTGCTGGCCCCATATGTTGGAGGTGGTGAGTTCAGATGCAGCCTCAACCAAAAACTACAACAACAATAAAAAAAAAAAAAGATAGATAAACTTAGATCAATCTATAATGCAAAGAGGTGAACATTTAGAAAACATTAGATAACCAAAGTTAGTGTGAAACCACTTTTGTAGTAGGCCAGACAAGCCAGAGATAACTTTCTTTTTTTTTCTTTTTTTTTGAGACAGAGCCTCAAGCTATCCCCCTGGGTAGAGTGCCATGGCATCACAGCTCATAGCAACCTCCAACTCCTGGGCTCAAGTGAGTC